CCCTATAACTGCTATGGCCTGTTATTTATATTGATGTAAGATCCATGAAAAAAATTGTAACATTTTGAACAGTGTAGAGAGCTTAGTGAATCTACAAAGGGCAAAAAAATACATACATTTTTTAAAGACATATAAAATAAAGGAATATGAGTCTATTTGAATACAAGCTTAGAAGCATTTTTAAGATTTTTTCTACTAGAAAATACTTTTTATTTCCAGTAGAGAGAAGCTCCCAAAAATGCTTCTTATATCCAAACAGACTCTATGTACTGGTCAATGAAAAACCTAAGCGTTAGCATAATATTTTCTCACATGACCATTATGAAATTTGGATCCTGGTAAGTGAAAAATAACAAAACACCCTCCCATATCCCAATTCCCAAAGAGAAACCAAGCTACTCAAGTTTTAGGCCAAAGGAAGGGCATAAAGGAAGCGCAGAAGCTCCAGATAACTATCCTATAGCACATAAACAATCAAATTACGCATCAACAACAGCATACTCTTGAACCTCCAGATTGAAACAAAGGAAGAAAAAAGCCAGTCAACACATAACAAATTATGACAGAAGAAATATAAAGATTGAACAACATTACCTGAATGAAACTTATTGCCTTCTTAGCACTATCTTGCCCAACCCTCACGCCATGAGTCTGCAAATACATATTGACTGTTTGGATTAACCTGATAAAAAACTTCTCTGCAACATATTTCGATTATTAGAGGGTGTTTAACGTCTTTTTTGTTCCCATTTCTAGTCAACGCGTTTTCATTACCATCTTATTTTCATTTTGTTATACATTCCCAACATCTTGCAAAGGAAACAGTCACAATAACATTTCCTTGTTTTCAACATTCGGTTAATCCTAACATCCCACCATAACATTTTAATCACGAGTTCTTCCAAAAGCAAAATAAATATAATCCAAACACACACGTGACATCTATGCCCAATAGCAAGCAATTTAAACTAGGAAGAATGCCTAAACATTTACTTCTTTATTAAAAAAAAGGTTAAACATATAATTTATTCCTTCTACATATCATAAGGATCCTCATACATAAAAATTTATTAAATCAGTCCTTATACATGCAAATGCTACCAATTGCTTCCTGTAACCATTAACTCCCTTACGCATTCTTTATTTAATCCATTACACGTAACACATTCTTAATTTGGTATTTCTATGATTTAAGGCATTCTTAATTTGGTCCTGATGGTTTAAGTCATTCTTAATTTTTGGTCCCTATATATAAGGATCAAATAAAAAATGCATTATGCATGTAGGGACCAAATTAATAATGTGATATATGTTTAAGGAGTAAATTAAGAATGTTTTAGGGAGTCAACGGTCAACATATGATAACAAGGATCAAACCGATAATATTTACATGTACAAAAACCAATTTAATATTTTTTTTTCACAGGGACCAAAGTGAGAATCCAATAAATAAACTATATGTTTACAAATAAAAAAAGGAAGTTCATTTAAAAGACCCTTTGGAGTCAAAGTTTGAGTTAGCAAGTTGTTGAAGTTCAGTTACAAGTTTGTTAGGGGCAATTCAGTTTCTTTACAAGTTCAGTTAGTTTCAATGTAAGAAGTAAAACAGTAAATAGCGGCATTTTGCGGACCTGCATGAGGAGCTTGATGCGGTCGAGCGGCGCCGTGACGGTCTTAGCGGCGGCCCCGGCGATGGCTCCGGCGGAGAAGAGGGCGGCGTCGCGGGGCACGACGGCGAAGGCGGCGAGGGGGTGCTTGAGGAGCTGAGAGGGAGTGGGCATGAAATCGGGGTGCAGTTTGGGTTGGGCGACGGAGACGGAGGCAAATTTCGTGTCCGCGGCGGCGAAGGTGACGGTGGCGTTGCGGAGGGAGCGGGGGCGAACGGCGTGGCATTTGTGGTTAGGGATTTTGCGCCATGAGAGTGTGAGTCTCTCTCTCTCCTCTGTGGGGTACATGGTGAGGCGGAGAGGAGATAAGACGCTGAGGAAGAACCAGAAGCGGTGGGTAATGGTTCCAACTTTAAACAACACACAAAGGAGACACCTCTTAATTGTTTAATATAATAATACGAAAATATTATGTTTTTTTTTTTATTTCTTGTAAAAATTTGGCATAGTTCTTTAGGAAAACAAATATGGAAATGTCCCATCAGAAAAATGAAAATATGAATAATGGTGTTTTTTTTTAGTGAACAGAAAGTTAATAAGAGAGATGTTAACTTTTTTTTAAATATGAGAGAAGATTAACTGAGATTAATTATCAAAATTTTAAACTTATATTATTTAATAATTTTTTATTTAAATATTTTATTTTTATTTTGTAATAATATCCTAAAATTTCATCTTTAAGATAATTTAGTTTATCTGAGAGACAAAAAGAATCGAATTTAAATATTATTTAAATAATTCAATTTTGGATTTAACATATTACTTATTTGTGGTCAAGTTCTTGATTTAGTTTAAATATTTTTAATTTTTATAATTTAAGCATTTTTGTTTTTTTTTTATAAATTATTTGTTATTTTAATCTCTGAAATATTTTTTATTATTTTTAATTTATATCAATAGATAAGTTCAATTAAAAGTTGATGAAGCCAAAGAAATGTCATGTGATGTTTACACAAAGCAAGTGTATCAAAGATTAAAATATTACAAAATAATATTATGAAAATTAAAAAATAAAATACTCAAATTATATGATTAATTAATTCAGTAGTTGAGATAAATGCATAACAAATTAAATTTTGTTAGAAATTTGATAAATGTATCAGGATTATACAAAAAATAAAATAACAAAGTACAAATATTGTATCTTAATAGAGTTAAACATAATACTAGTCGAATTAAATTATATCATATATAGGTTAAAAAAAGTGTTTTAGAATTTGATCGCAAGAATTCAAGGAAAAACAATAAAAAAAACATTTGTATGATTTTTTTAATTGATTAAAATTACGTAAATAGTATATGTAATTAATATTATACAAATAAAAGGGTTGAAAAAAGTTTGATTTCACTAACACTTCACACATGTACTAACCAATTACGAATTTAGTTTCTAATTATTTTTAATTCAACAACCATTTATTATATTATAATTCAAAAAAAATTAGGTAAAAATATCTAAATTTCTCAATTAAAATCTCAATTCCTTTATAAAGTTAATTAAACAATTTATATTGAGATTGAAGGTTCAAATGTTGGTTAATAAACCTTACACAATTTTTATAGTAATAAATTTTATTAGATTTCTTTTTTAAACCCTAACATTAAAAGTGTTTTCAAACAATATTTAATTTCATAAATTTAAATTATAAGTGATCAATTAAACATTAAAAAAATAGGAAGAAGAAACAATTAACTAAATTAAAATTTTTATAAGAAATTACAAAGAAAAAAATAGAATAGAGTCAACTAAGTCAACCTATAACAAGAGTGAATTAGCTACTTATGACAAATATAAGATGAAACAAGAAGGAAAGATGAGATATTGGTGAAGTTAATGATGAGTACTTTTGTTCCACTCTCTCTTAGGTTGGATAATCATTTAATTTCTCTTTTTGAGTCTTTTATATGATTGGGCCTATCAAGTTCACTTGCTTAAGTGACCAGATAATTTGCTTGGGCAAGCCTTCAAGTTCTTTGTAAGATCTTTATAACTTGTCTCACTTGAATGTTGAATGACTCAATTAACCGGGTTTTCAATGTTTCACCTTTAGAGCTCTTAGTCCCCCTCCCCCCACCCTTTTAAGCTACCAAAGTGTTTGCTTAAGTTAACCTTCAACTTTTCACATTTAAGCTCTCTATCAATCTCATTTAGGCGATTAAAGTGGTTCACTTGAGCGATACTTCCCTAGTTAAAAATTTCTTCACTTGACTTAATGTCTTCCAATTTTTCATCAACACTTTATATACTCTTGCTCTTACTATATTTTAAACATAAAAGCATCAAGAATATCTAATAAAATAAATTTTATTGATATGAATTTATTAATTATTTAGGGTAAATACAACTCTAAAGCATGTGATATGTTCAATAATTGTTAATATTCCTCCAAATTATATACATATATGCAAATTATCAAGTTTGAAACTTATTATCACAATTATAATCTTTTCTATTGATTAAAAATTAAAGCTATAATGACCAAAATAATTTTAAGGAGACTTAAAAAAAATAAAAATACATTTAAGTTAAATTAAAATATAGGGGAAAAAGTAGAAAAACTTCATCTACAATCGACTTTTTTACTTAATTAATTTTTTTTAAATACCAAAATAGCACCTTGTACACTTTAATTCCCCAACTAGCACCATTCACTGTACAAGGTCAGAATTCGATTCCCCGGAAACCAAATTCTGACATTCATTATGTCCTCCCCCGCCGGCGTGGGCTGCCAGAATTCGGTTCTCTGAAAACCAAATTCCAGGAAACCAATTTTTTTTTCCCGTTTTTCGTATTGCCTTTCTGCCCCCTCCGTCCTCTCCAAAGTGCTACGACACTCTCTCCTCCGGCGAAGCCTCCGCCGCCGCCCGCCAGATCGAGGGCGAGGCCTTCTCCGCCATCGTTGCCTCCGCCACCGCCTTTACCGAAGGTGTTGAGACGCTTAATTAGTTGGCCTTGACGGTTTCGAGCATGCGCTTGTTGATCTCCTTAGAGTAGAGCTAGAGCGTCCCAATGCCTTCCGTAAAGGCGGTGGCGGAGGCAACAACGGCGGAGAAGGCCTCGTCCTCGATTTGGCGGGCGGCGGCGGAGGCTTCGTAGGAGGAGAGAGTGTCGTAGCACTTGGAGAGGACGGAAGGGGCAGAAAGGCAAAACGGGAAAAAAAATTTGGCTGCCCGGAATTTGGTTCCCCAAAAATCGAATTCCGACAACCCACGCCGGCGGGGGAGGAAAAAATGAAGGTCAGAATTCCGTTTCCTGGAAACCAAATTCTGACCTTGTACCGTGAATGGTGCTAGTTGGGGAATTAAAGTGTACAGGGTTCTATTTTGGTATTTTTTTTAAAAAAAATTTAATTCAGTAAAAAATTCTCTACAATCATCATTGTAAATGTAACAACCCGATTTTCACAGATTATATGAAGGCTCAAAGCCCAATAAGGGTGATTTAGTAGCCCAAAACGGGCCGTTCTAAACTATTAAAAAGACCTATTTTTGGTAGGTCAGAACGGGTTGTTCCCAAACTAGAACGGGTTGTTCCCAAAATGGAACGGATTGTTCCAAACTACTAAAAAGGCCTATAACCCTAGTTGGGAATGAGTCATTCTAGATGTGAATTTTACACATGACGAATGAGTCTAGAACGGGCCGTTCTGGATCTGAAACGGACCGTTCTGGCCACTTCTGACATCTATAAATAACAGACTCTGGCACTACTTCTAGACACACTCTCTGAAAACCAAGGAGAGCCAAGAGAAGGAGATCAACCATATTTCACTCTAGCTTTATCTTCTACTTATCCAGGTAAGGGAGAGTAAGAAACCTCGCTCGGGGGTGTGGGAATAATTGTTGAGTAGTAGGATTGGCCTCCAATCCCTTGCTTGATGCATGCTTTTAGGAACAGGCAAAATATGAATGTTTTCTGTTTTGTTGTCTAATTATTTTGTTGTGTTCCTTGTTGGATGTGATGCATGAATATGAGATTAATTTTGAAAATGAATATGTTTTGATATGAATTAGAGTGTTCTGTGAGTTTCTGAGAAAACCCTATGATAAACAGGCAAATATATGAATGTTTTCTGTTTTGCCTTCTGATTGTTCTGTTGTGATCCTTGTTAGATGTGATGTATGAATATGTGATTAATTTTGAAAATAAACAAGTTTTGATATGAATTAGAGTGTTCTGTGGGTTCTTGTGCAAAATCCTATGAGGAACAATTATGAGTATGACTATGTGAAATGTGAACAAATGACATGAGACATGACGTGAATATGACGTGATAAGTGAAATGTTGAGTCGATGAAATAGTGAATGTGTGACATGCATCATGTGCATATATGATTTATTCAAGATGTGTCGCTTAGGTCGCATACCAGTGATGTAACAAGCTATGTGATGAAATGACTTATTCAAGGTGTGCCGCTTAGGCCGCATACCAATGATGTAATAAGTTATGTGATGAAATGATTTATTCCAGGTGTGCTGCTTAGGCTGCATACCAGTGATGTAACAAGCTATGTGATGAAATGACTTATTCCAGGTGTGTTGCTTAGGCTGCATACCAATGATGTAACAAGCTATGTGATGAAATGATTTATTTCAGGTGTTCTGCTTAGGCCGCATACCAGTGATGTAACAAGCTATGTGATGAAATGATTTATTCCAAGTGTGCTGCTTAGGCCGCATACCAATGATGTAACAAGCTATTCTAGGTATACCTTGGGTCACCAGTGATGAAATGATGAGGAATGTGAACTTATGTATGGCGCCACATGCATGCATTTATGAGTCAAGTCCATGACATCATTGCATGATAAATGAGTGTGCATGTGATATTGATTGTGTATGTGTATTATTTACATGTGATTTGTGCTTGTGACTTATGTTTGTTGTGTGTGTTATCTAACATTTATTTCTACACCTGAAGCTGAGTGAGATGTTTCTCACTCCCTTGTTGTTCTTGTATGTGTTTAAATTGTGTTGCAGGTGATCATCAGCATGAAGATGTTGGTGATGAGGCTTAGTTAGGATTAGCATTGGAGTTTCATTACTGTTATTATGTTTTGAAAAGATTAATGTTTTATTTTGTCATCATTTTCGCATTGGACCACGATTTGCGAAATATGAATGTGAACTTTCTATCTATGTGTTTTGAAACCTTATTTTTAAGAAAAATTTATTTACTCAGGAATGTACTTTATATTTATTATGTATTATGTATGTGGGGTAGAGGGTGTCACAGTAAAACCTTTGTTTTCTCCTTTTATCATGTCTTCTCCTTCAACCATCTCCACATAATCCATATACTAAACAAGTCAACCAAATCTAAACTCATTAACCACAACTCATAATATTACGAGTTTTATCGGTA